CAGCTTACTGTACAGCGTTTTTATCACACAAAGACAATTTGAAGGAATCATAGTATATGATCTTGCGCGAAATGCATTTATCGTGCGTGTATTGTATTCAGAGTTACATCGTCTGATACGGAAGACAGTTAATTCTAGCCCGCGTCTAAATTCATGACGTCACAATGCTCAGATTGGACATTGCGTTAGCCGGAGCAACTCAGAATTATAACCGTAGAATTACAATCAAGAACATAAGCGTGCACAACGCTCTTGTTTCGCAATCACGGAAAGCGTAGCTGTTGCGACTATTATTCATAAACTATGCATTTTGAATGTCTATGATCTTATACATATATAGAAAGTTTCTATAACAATAAATTTTAATCGTTACAAAAAAAGAGATTATTTGTACTCTAGAAAAAGCTATTATGAAGATATAAAATATAAATTATAGTATATGTTATTTGTGAAAGTTATGAAACGTTTCTGACGAAATAGGAATTAATGAAATAGGAATTACATGATGTATAAATTATTATTATTATTATTATTATTCTCAATCACGTTTATTATATTTTGCAAAATTTAGTTTAGAATTACGTCGAAAATTAAATACGAAACAACGATGCGCAAGTTATGACGCATGTTGTATTGTTAGTACAAATTTTTGACGGAAATTTCTCATCGCATTCTTCAACGATATTCCAAAGACGACGTCATTTTATTGTCAGTTTTGCGACACGGCGCTTTTCCTCTATCGGCGTTGCTTTTATTTAAAAAGAAGACTAAAAAAAGGAGAGAGGAAAGGAAGAAGGGTGAAGGCTTTAGGTCCGCCCCATACCAAGACTTTGCGTCGCCCTCATAAACTTCGAAAACATTTCTTATAAACGGCGGATGTTCCGCGGGGGTGAAATTCCTGACGGGTCTTATCATGGCAGAGATTTACTCGCAAGGACGGTGAGGTATAAAGTATTAAAATATCACGCGAATGGCGCATTCGGAAGTTCCTGCTGCACCTAAAAGCAGAGACGCTGCTCGCGCAATATGAGGATTTTCTCTTTTAGACGGAATCGCCTCGCGGTAAGCGACTCTAAATTATTCGTTTCTTTATTTCCTACGAACTTTTATCATACGATTCTTACTCTCTTTTCCTCTTTTACTTTTTCTTTGTAAATTTCATTTGTGATTTTATTTACTGTTATGACGTGCAAATATGTAAAATTAAATTTATATGAACTAATTGGCGAGAATTTCTTTACGAAGTAAAGAACAAGTAAGAATTACAATATAAAATCTATTATATTTTTTTCAACCTACAAATTCTTTAGTAATTCTATATAACGATAATTCTTAATTTTAAAATCATTAAAATCTGATATTGCAATTTATGGAAAATAATAATATTAAAAATTAAAAAGTTTCTTATAATCATATAGTAATTATCATATCAAAAAGAATTATCGTTAGAATAAAAAAAATATCTTTCGCGTTTGACAATAAAAGACTCCATTAATTGATAACGGAAATTTGTAAGTCGAAAGAATCACGGTAAAGTCTCTGACATTTCAATCCTTCGATGTCACATATGAGGATAGATTGATAGAACATAGTCTTGAATGATGCAGCTTCGCGGATGTGCAAGAACATTTGCGTCTACTCTTTTGGTATCCGATCGTGTGCAAACGAGGACAAAGCAGCGACGGAGGAAGACGCGGGGGTGATACAACCGAAGCAAGGTAGTGTGAAAGGGGTCGAAAGGGGCGGCAGGAAACTACTGAAGGGGAGAAGGGCGAAAGGAGAAGGGAAGTGAGCGCGTACCTCACCTGGCATACCGGGAGAGTATCGCGACACATTTTGATCGAATTCTTCTCGAGGTCGGGGAATGCCGGTATCTCCCGTAGATATTATTACATATTTAGGCGGTGCGCGGCTGGCAGTCAGTCTCTCTCTCTCTCTCTCTCTCTCTCTCTCTCTCTCTCTCTCTCTCCCCTCCCCCCTCTCTCCCCCTCTCTCTCGCTCTTTCTCGGTCTCTCTATCTTCCTTTTCGCCTCGAAGATGTAAAGCCTATTCTACAATGTGCTCTTTGTTTTCTGTTTCTTGCTTTTTGCTATTTTTTGTATCTTGCCTTTTTGCCTCTCTTATCTCGTTTTTCGTTTTCTGTTGCTCGAGATAAACGTTAAGGAACTTCAGAAGAAACAGAAAACACATATCAAGAAATATAATTGTCGATAAAACGATCACAAAGAGGAAAAAAGCAAAAGATAAAAAGCAAGAAACAGGAAACAAAGAGCACATTGTAGAACAATCATAATACACTTAGAAACGTATTCTCGCTCATTCTCTCTTCTCTCTCTCTCTCTCTCTCTCTCTCTCTCTCTCTCTCTTTCTCTCTCTCTCGATGCGGCACGGCGCGGCGCCGCGGGGCGTACATATCTGGCTCACTATACTTGCGCCACTGCTGTATCCTCATAGCTCTCTCGCTCTCCTCGCACAGACCTCGAAGGATCGCAGTTCTGCGCGATATCCTGCATATCTCGGCATACCGTCCCCGTCGTTTCCGACATTGTTCCCTCGGCCCGCCCCCGCACGGTTCCCCGGCTCCGAACCCGGACGCGGAATAATCCCACTCGTTCGACGTCTACCGGGCCCGGCTTCCCGGCCGGATTCCAGTCGATTCTGGTACCGAGCTTGTGCAGGGTGAGAAGCCCCGGCATCGGGCATGATAATTGGATGCTTTTCCGCTCACTCGCCCTTCTACCCCGCACCACCGTTCCCGAAAAAGCGCGGTGAAGAAACGCGTATAGGAGCTTGTTGACAGAAACCTTGAAAAAGCGCGTTACTGGGTACAAGATAGTACAAGGAGAGTGGATGCTGAGAGAACGATCTGTATTCTACGAGAATCCACAAATACAGATGTTAGAAAAATTGTCGTATAATGTAAAAGAATATAATTGTTCAATAATTATTAAATAAAAAATATTTTTATCACATTACAGTAATTATTTATTATTTAATTAAGTATTCTATTCGTATAGCTAATATCTAAAGTAAATAATTAATAAAATTAATTTACAAAAAGAAAATATACATTTTTTAAATTACTTTGAACTAGACATGATATTTGTCATAGATTTTTGGATGACGAAAATAATGCCGCAAGCCAAATTTCACTAACATCAAGTTTCCATAATTTATTGTGCAAAAATGGCTTATGGATAATATTATATATTTTTTCGTAAAAAAAAGGGTTAACATTATCTTGAAATTCTGAATAAGAAGTTATCTTCTTTTTTTTACAAAAAATGTCAGATATCGCAAAAAAGCTATTTTTTCGCACATTAAATTTCGATTATTTCGGAAACCTAATATGCTGGTAAAATTTTGCTTGCGGCGTCGTCGTTTTCAGCATCCAAAATCTATATGAAACATTTTGTCTGGTACAAAGTAATTTTTAGTGTAAACTACCTAATTCAAATAGTAAACAATTATACAAAACTTGCCAGATCTAACGCATAAATAAAAAAATGTTACTAATAAATAGAAATCTGCGTCATTATATGTGTGTGTGTGTACGAGAATTGTGTCTTTTTAAATTTTTCACGAATGTGAACATTCTTCAGACATATATTTTTTCTTTTTTATTTTGTTAAACACAGAAATTAAACCTTTGCAAGCCGTTTAATGTTTATTTCTACCAATGTAGATTAATTTTAATTTTGATTTAATTTATTCTTTGTCTTTTTCTAATTGTTAGAATTAGAAAAGGATAAAAAGTAAGTTAAACTGAGATCAAAGTTAACTTACATTGGATATAGAAATAGATATAATAGATATAAAAGACGCGCAGGTTATAAATATTCAACTCATTAAAATTAGCCCATAACGAGAAAATAACGCGATATCTACAACAAATATTCTCCGAGCCATCGTGTGTGTCCATCACGCGTTCACGTTGATAGCCCGGTCGAAATGCGTTTGTTGAATATTCAATGTCCAGTATTCGACTCCCGGCGGACGACAACCATAAGCACTACGGATTCTATTAGCAAACAGTCACGAGAACAATGGTGCGTCGTCGATGCGATTCCGTCGATATACAAGCAGCGAGTCGATGATCGAGCCCGATAAATGCCGGCCACCTTCCTTCGGCACATTTCACGGCGAACGTCCCGGGATACTATTCGCATATCTAAATCCCATAGAACGTCCCTGTCCGTACAATTCCCAGAATTGTTACCAGTCCGCAGGACCACTTGCTGTTACACTCCTTCGTGCATGACCGGTCCTTAATTCGTCAAGAACGCCGTTTCAGGTCGTCGCACGTGAGCGAACAATGTCAAACCCATGATGTAAGGATACCTATATTTTTACATGGTCAAAAATCATTCCAAAACATTTGAAATGCGTTTATGTTCTTTAACCTTCAGCCGTAATGTGCAAGTAAAAAATTTGGCCTGAATATCTCTCTCTCTCTCTCTCTCTCTCAAGATATTTAAAAACTACGGACCATATTACTAATCAGCTTATTACTTTTGTTCAAGTTCAAAATTTTACACGTTTGTTTTCTTCATGAGCTATATATTTCTAATGTTTACAAGTTAATTTATTGCAGCATTAAGAGGATCCTAAAGCCGTCTGTATTACCGACTAAATCGTAATTTTTGTGTAACAATTACTTTTTTCCTCTTTTACAGATTTGAAAATCCCTTTTCTAGGCTTTAGAATCCCTTAAAAATATATATCTGTTATGGGCAAATAGTTGCTCTTGCAAATAGTCGTACGTTGATTCGACATCAATTTGATGATTTCGACGTCGAATCGACATCGATTCGATGTCGATTCCATTGTCATTTCTCACTGAAACAATGTCAGCATTGCTCATTTACTCATTTTTTAATTTCGTCTAGAATATTTAAATCATCTGTTTAACAAAATGTTACATTTCGTGAAATATTTCTAGGTGTGCCACCAAGACAAGATACGCTTGAAAAGCGTTCTATTTGACAATCGAAAATCTGAAGATATTAATCTCATAGAATGTACGAGAACACGTTCAACATCGACGAAGATTTCTTCGACGCATTAGCACTGTTGCATTCGACAGAGCAAGACAGTGCGGAGAAGCTTCGTCGGATGCTGGACGTCTGCATTGAAAAGAAGCACGGTCTCGAAAAGACTTTGGCTGTCAGAATGCCGAAGCGATTTTTGCAAAACGTCGACGAATCCGCTCCTCTGATGCATACCTTGAAGAGTCACGACCACGTAACGCAAGGATATAGTACAATAAAAACCGAGATCTGGGACGGTAATCTTGAGATCATTTCTTTTCTTGAAGCTGACGAAGCGGAGAACATTAGGAATCACCGGAAGTCCGATGTAAAAGTATTCGAGGTCGATTACGAGGACTGCTGCGAGGACGAAGAAGACATTCCCAGAATCTCGATTCCCGACGAAGGATCCGCCGACGGGACTATGTGCAAGGTTTTCTTCAATTAAACCCGGCCGCTTTATAATTTATAGCTTAAATGCAAAATCGCGAGAGTAATGTGACTGTATGACTGATTGTCTTCAAAAGTCGCCGTGTTGTTGACTTAAATGAATTATGACACTGTGTGTGGTGTGTAAACTCCAAGATCTGTAACGGTACGAAACTGGGACCTCTGATTTTGCTCGAGTGCCAGGAGTGTCAAGAAGCTTATCATCCGCTGTGCCATCAACCTCCGGTCATCGATGTTGACGTTTACGACCCTAGAATCGTGTGGCGATGCAAACGGTGTGTCACAAAACTCCATCGGTTACTCCTATGAAGGTTAAAATTATGGAAAAGGGACGCGTGGGGAAAGTTCGACGAAATAGCGATACAGTCAAAGAGAACGCAAACATTTCGAAACTGAGAATACCTGAGAAAAGGGACGGTGATTTGTTTAGGGTGAACGGTAAGATTTGAGAAGGATAAATATTGACTTCAATCTTTTTCCTAACTCTCTTAATTACCTACGTCTTCGTGTAAAGTATTATTATAGTTTTTTAAATTTGAATCTCGATTTGAATATATTGTGCAAGAAAGAAAGATATACAATATAATAGAGGAAGGTCACCGATACTGACATAGGTCTCCTAAAGCGACATCCCCTTATTTCTTAGAAACTAATCTTTGCACCTTATTAATACTAATAAAAACGTGATCTGTGTTTAGCTAATTAAAGAAGTACAAACTCATAATTCATATATTTGTGGCTTATTTCTATACCAAATCAGCTAAAGACAAATTCTATGAATCCGAGAAGAAAATTCTTACTGTGTTCTTTTGCAAATTGCGTAATTAAAATAATAGTGACTGTATTATTGATAATATAGGATATATCTTTATTTATAGAATAGGATTGTGTTGGCATTATTGCCTACTATGTTAGTTTTGAAGCCCATTTTGTCAGATGCTCATTTTTGCATAACTTACGAAAAACTTAATTATTGCAAAATTGCAAACAATATTATAAAAACTGCTTATACTATCTGATAGAAGACATTTTTTAATTATATACGTGTATGTATAATATATACATATACATGTATGATAGAATTATTGTATATATGAATATATATGTATTGTGTACCCAGTGTACCAGATACAGTAAAAGTTGGAAAATTTATGTAAAATATAATATTTCACGAATATCTCTCTCTCTCAAACTACCCAATTTATGTTAATTTAACATAACACGAATATGTTAGGAAGTAACGCAAATATTATAGCAAAATTAACACAAAAAAGGTACACTGATATCATTTGTAAGTGAATATTCTTCAGTAAAATTAATTAACACATTTATAATGTGTTACATTAATATATTTTATTCATTTCTTAGAATTTACATTTTAAAATACATTGGTTTTATGTTATTTGTTGTTATTTACTTATAAATTTTCTCATTTAACACTAAGACAAATTGAATATCAATTAACAAACACAAGATTCAAATAGCGTAACCATATTATTATATTAAATTAACACTTGCATGTGTTAAAAATTCAACAGAAAAAGGTATTAATATAAACTTTTTGTAATAAATCGTACTTCAAAAGCACGTTTCTACTTCTCTCCTTGTTAGAGGAAACTGTCAAAAAAGGTTTTTAATAACGTTTTTGCCTTAGTAAAGTCAACTCCGAATCGGTAAACAATTTGTGATCGAAAAAAAATCATGAGATGTGAAGAATAATAATGAAGAATTACACAAATGTATGTTTGGAATATTCTAAGATTTACGTTTTGTATGTTAAATGCTTAAATGTTTAAACAAATCATTTAAGTATTAAAATCTTTAATATAAAAATCATCTCGTTATTGATAAGCAAGCTTTTACGTAAAAGTAGACCAGCCTGTTTAGTCCAATGGCATTAAGCGCATATAAATAAATGTTAAAATCCGCTTCTTCAATTAAACGAATAAGGTACCTGAACCGAATAAGGTCCACCTAATTTAGTTTATTTTTTTTTAATTCTATTTATGGGGATATTGAAATAAACTAAGTGAGAATCAAATCTTCATTTCATTCACTCCCAAAAATAAAATATATTATTTATATGGAATACATGTAAATAAACGAAAAAAAAATTTTATTAAACTCTGACATTGGGCTTTATTATATGCATATGAATATAATAAGGCCCAAATAAAAAATAAATTAAAAATAACGAAGAAAGTAAACATTTTCTTTCTAAATCAGTTTTAAAATTAACTGAAACTGAATTATTAATCATAGAAAGGAAATTTCTTAGGACTTACTCTACTCTCAAATATTACAATTATCTTTAATTTTGTTCCTAATTAACTCTTCAATCTTTGAAAATTTTTAGCAATTTATATGCAATTTTTGCTTCTTAAAAGATAGTAGCATTGAAAATTGTTATTCTATGGCGTAAACTCCACACATATAACAAAAAAATAATAATAATAAAAATCACATAAGTGGGCCTTATTTAATAAGTACATGTTTAAAAAAAAATACTTATACTTATCTCAAAAAATTATTTATTAGTTATTTTCCACAGTTAGGAAGTTGAATAATATTATAATGAATTATAATAAATTATGAAACATTGTATACTGGTAAATTTTGCAGCGGATTGTTATAAAAATGGCTCA